TGGATTTGAAGGACTGTATTCTTGAGGCATTGGTGCCCACAAGTTTTAGTCTGTACGTCGATTTTAGTAGTCTTGTAGACAGTCAGTTTGTTTTTCTTTGAAACGTTAAATTTGCGTGCCTGTAGTCTAGAATAGTCCGAACGTTCGTTTAGAGCTTGTCGTTTTAGTCGTGTGTTGATCCAAGGTTATCTTAAGTCTTGACTTAACGTAGAGACGCAGTCTATTTTTGGAATGAATAGTATTGTCGTCGAGAATCCAAACCGATTACACGACATTTGAAAAATGGCAAAAGGAGGGAAAACTCATAAGGTGAGGTTGAGATGGGGAGTTGATGTCCGAGAGGATCGAGATCACGATAGCTCAGATGGTAGAGCAGCGGCGTATCTAGCAGAAGGTCGCGGGTTCGAATCCCGCTCGTGACACTGCCTTTTTTATCTCTACCAATACCTTTCATAAAGATTATATAATCATTAAGTTATTTTTAATTATTTTAATTATTAATAGGAGTTAATATACTATTAAGTGCAAAAGAAAAGAGCCTACTTTGTTACTGGACTCTGAAGAATCGTTCGGTTTTCGAAGCAAAAAAACTTACAATTAAAAATGACTACATTATTTAGAAAAATAAAACATATGCAGCCAATTTAAGTCAAAAACAAACTCCTGATTGTCAGTCCATATTTGCATTTTATACTAGTTTAAACGGAGTATACAACGAACAACTTATAAAGCTGAATATTTAAAACTAAATTTTAAATAAATTTTGCTTAATTTTGACCTTAAAAATATAAATAAAGGAATTAGTATCGTCCAGTATTATTTGGAATATGATCTTCGATCATTCTTGTAAGTCGGACGGATATAAGAGAACAAAAAAGCTTGGAAGCTATCATCGATATTGTTTGTTGAACATTTCGGTTTTCTGCAATCGAACACTGTCCTTAAAAGGTTAGTCTCGGCAACCGTTTTTGGAAGAAGGAATCGAGAAGTGAAAATTACCGGTTAAGCCCCTAAAGATCTTGGATTTCATGCCGTATAAACGCGTCCCACTTCGCAGCCTCGGTAAATATTATCTGTCTTCATCCTTTCTAGTTACACAAGACCGTCTGTCATACCGATCCTCGAAGAACAAAGTTTGAAAGTTATCGAAACTTTTCAAAGCGATTTTTTCACAATTGTCGAACAACAGTTTTCTTAAAAACTCCCGAGTAAGACAATTTTCAATGGGTGAACGTATCATTAATGTGGAACTGTACACTATTATAAGCAGAAAAAAATAAATGAAATAAATAAAATCAATAAAAATAAAATGAATAATAAGAAAATAAAAATAAAATAAATAATAAAAATGATAATAAAAATAAATAATAATATAAAATAAATAAATAAAATTAAATTAATAAAATAAGTCGAACAAGAGTTTATGACATTTCATGTAGTGCTAGTTTTCGAAAATTTGACAATCGAATCGATTCGACGGCTGAATTAAACAGCAAGAATATAAAGACATAAGTGATCAGATATAATTAAACTGCAGGCAAATATTTGATTCAAATGAAATAGTCCAAAAGATGTGAAATTAAATATGCTTTATATCACATGTGACTTGGGAAATAATTAAAAGGATGTGACAACTGAAAGAAGTTGAAAATTTCTAAATTCTGCACTCTCGTGCCGCTTGCCGTCATCTATTTTAATAATTTCCTTACGGGATATGTATATAATAATATGACCACAAGAAATAATAAAACAACATGCAAGAATATGAAAAATAGAATATTTAATTTTGGCAAAGATCATCGATAGTGTTGAATCTTTTTGCTTTCGAATACAACTTTTTGAATTTTAAATCCATTATATTTCGTTGTCTCATTGACCAAATAAATTCTTTCAATTAATTAATCTTTTTATGTAAAGTATTGGCTGAAATGAAAGCACAAGTGTATTGAGCTGAAGGTCGTGGGTACGAATCCCGCTCGTGACACTAACTTTTTCATTTCAACCAATACCTTACATAAAAAGATTAATTAATAAAAAAAATGGATTTTGTTGAAATATTGAAGATTCGTCAATAATCAATAAACTAGATCTAATAATATATCTGTTGAATTATCGTTAAGTAATGCCAACGGATTTCTTGATATATTTCACAGTAGAAAGTGTTTGAGTGTTGAAAATGTCACTGCGAAATGTGACTAGGTCGTTTTAGAATGTTGCAATTGTCGTTACCGTTCTTTCAACATTTGATATTGTCAAAGTTTCATTGAATTAAGTAAGGAGTTAAGTTTTAAGTCTGTTCCGATAAATTTCAAAGAATTGGTATATTTACAAATAAAAGCTGTATGTATCGATTTTATGTTGGATTATCTTGAGATAAGAAAATTAGTATTTTTAGCTTTTTAATACCATTAATATCAAAGTTCAAAAGTTTCGACATTTTCCAACATACAAACGTGATTACATTGTATAGCGTTATCCGAGGTAACGAGATATCAAAAAGTCAGTTTTTCTCCGATTTCAGAAATATACAACGGATTATCGCGGAATAATAATTTCTATACGTGTTTCTGCAAAATACGTGTATGTTGTTGCACCAAGGGTGCCATATATTAGCAGTTGGCGTGGGTGGGTTTTGTTATAAATTAGTCTAGCTGAGATAAGTTATCTGTGGAATGTTGAAAAAGCAGGGTTCAGGCCTATCTCTTACACCCCTGATCAACCTTGGAATTAATACACCCCTTTCCCAGCTTCCACCCTGCCGGCACAACTACAATACAACCCCTTGTAATAACATTTTTTTCCTCTATGTTTAAACACCCGACATTTAGACCATTCTGCAAAATTGATCATGCATACAAAAACAACAAACTTCCTTTCTTTATGTCATCCTTAAAGTCCTGAGGCTTAAATTCTTTTTTATTTACTTAAGATAACCAAACTGGAAAACGGATTAAGAAAATGAAAAGGTACTTGTGCAGTACCTGCTTACCTTATTGCATCTGGCATTAGATTTTAAACACTTCTTCAACAAGTTACCTCAGTATATAGGTTCGTTTTTCCTCATTTCTATCCTGTGTGTGTATATGTACATATATACTGAGGTACAAGGTTATATATATATANGAGAGAGAGAGAGAGAGAGAGAGAGAGAGAGAGAGAGAGAGAGAGAGAGAGAGAGAGACTTTTTGGGTAACTCTACGCACCAAAATATTAGGCCCTGGATTGGTCAATTTTTTTAAGTTTAAATTTTCAGTTTTTTAATATTTTTATTTCACCTTTCTACTTGCTCAAATCATCTATGTGAATATATAGCGTTTTTTATATAGGTAGCAATAAAAATATACTAAAAGTCATCAAAGTTGATCAATAACAACAACTTTCTCAAAACCAAATATTTTTCAAGTAAACTAACATAATTTTTTTCTTGAATCTAATTTGAAATTTTGTTTTAACACCTCTAAAGACCCTTAAATATAAATTTTTGATTGAATTTAATTTTATCGATTTTTAGACTCCTAAAACCTTTACGATTTTTGAGAAGTCGGTTTTGATTGATCTGATTGAAACGGGTATAAATAAAAAAATGTTTAAAGTAAAAAAGCGAAAACCTCAACGGTTTCACTGACCACAATTTGGGAAGCCACACGCAACCTATATGGACGACACAACAATCTTAACGACACTCTCATACTAGTAGATGATGGATGTTGGCCTGCGAGTCCTCCTCAGTGAAGGAAGTCCTGTTCCTCACTGAAGATAGCAATGCCGAAACACATTTGTATATCTCAAACAAAAAAACCCGAGAGTGGAGACAGACCTAGCAAGTGGCCGTGTGCCGGTTCATGACTCCTTTACTATCCTAGCCTCGGAAGCAATCAGAACCTCATTACCGACTGGTTCATTCGGAAGCTGATCAGGTTGAACGAGCAAAAAAGCAAACAAGCTACGTCAAACCTGCCCACCAGGCACAAAATCAACAGGATAATACCATCATCGAACCAAGTCCGCTACTTTGGTCTTAGATAACAGACTTAAATGGAATCCACATACAAGATTAAAACGGCAAGAATTTAACAAAAGACATGAACTGCTCAGACAACTTCTGGGACCAAAATCATCACTAAACAAACATATATAACTAACTAAACTCTTACGAAACACTGATTAGATCTATTTGGACCTACGCAGCCGAACTATCGGGCTCGACCAAATGATCGAACAGCCAACGAATTCAATCCTTTTAATCTTATCTAGCCGTATCTTCTTTCTTTTACGTCACCAATCAAACGATTCATAAAGATCTTATAATCACATTCTTGATAGATTTTATTTGAACACACTTCCTTTTTTTAGTGTTTCCTCAATGTTTCACCCTTACAATCCTCCGCGCCGTTCAAAACGACCATGTCCTCGTGACCTTCTATCTTAGCCCACCCAATTAAATAAAAGAGAGTTCTAACACTGGTTTCCCTCGTCTTCTCGCCCGCCTCCTGGTCTGCCAAATCTGTCAGATTTTTATATAAATATACTATTTGCTCAAAGTATATTTATTTTGAACAGGTAGCAATAAATGAAATAAATTAAAAAAATATTGTGTTTGATTCTTGTATTACAACTTTATGAAATGAACTAACTAGTCTTAGCAAGCGGAAAAGTTTAAATATTTTTTGTGTTTTCATTTTCTCATCTTTTTAACTAACACGTTACTCTTATTTCAAGTCGTAGAGTGAGGAAAAAACCAGGAAGATAATACAATTCAGAACGCATAACAAACTTGTTGCGTGTTACTGCGATAATTCAAATAACCGGTAGGATGACTTTTTCCCCCACTAAAATTAATTCAAGCAATTTCAGAAATGTCATTGATTTATTCTGTTATGTTAAACGTGATAACTGTAAATTTTACAATGATTTTTCTTATTACTGATCACGCACATCATTCTATGGTTAAAAATGCATAGTTGAAAGGTGTTTAGAGGTTAAATAAATAAGAAACTTACTTGGTGAGGGTTTCTAATGATGATGTGTATATGGTTCCGCCGACGTCGATGTGGACCGGTGCCGTGTAGCGGTTCGCAGCGGCTACATAAGGTATCCCGGTTATTTTATGGTTGTACCCTGGGCTATGGGACGTCGGCGTGGGCACTGCCGGTGCCGGGGAATTAGTCGGCGACGTCCCTGGTGAACCGCTGGAAAATAATTAATTTTTGAACAATTCTAGAAGTTGGTTTGAATGATGATAAATGGACCAACCTCAGTTTAATTTGAGCAGTGGTGAATATTGTCCTCGGTTGAGTCAGATCTTTTGGTTCTTTACCATCGGCTTCCATCCTCACTTCACATTTCCTCCTGAAACAACCAAATTATTATTTTTTTTTATTGCAGAATGTGAAGTTCTGGCTTGATTACAACTACAGTGGAATCCCACTGATCCAAATATCCGTCTAATCCAAACATGTATCGTTCGACAGAAAGGCCAGTTTTTGTTTTCCTTCCAATCGAAAATGCTCAACTCTATTTCTCTTTGCTGATGATTTAAAATTTCCATACCAATTAAATCTATTTCATTCTAAAGTCCTTTCTCTTGGATCACTGGTTCAAGGAGAGGCTCGAATTTTCAGTCATCAAGCTCTCCAAGCTGGCGTTCCCCAAGGGATTATCCTAGGGCCAATCCTCTACCCAGTTTACAGTGTCAACATACCTACACGCTTAACATCCACATCAAAACAATCACGGACGATACCGCAAACATCTTTACACTTTGACCTTGCAACTAAAGCAACCCATTACAGACCAGTGGATACCTCTAAACCTCTAACCAAACAAACCGTTATCTTGGGTTCTACTTGGGCAGCAGAATTACGTGGACCAGGACACACACACACACACACACACACACACACACACACAGAGAAAAACAAAAAGGACAGGACATACCGAAGGTGCCTACTTGGATTAAATCAACAGTCAGTATACGGAATAAATTAACAATATACAGGATACTAATTAAACCGATTTGGACTTACGGTGTCGAGCTGTTGGGTTTACTCAAATCATCTAACATCCAAAGGATTGAATCCCCTTCAATCCAAAGTTCTTGGAAGAATCTTTACTATTTCTGCTGTCACTAACCAAAAGGTCCACAAAAACTAGACATCCCATTCGTGGCAAACATGATCCGAACACTATTCCAGAATTTCCACTCTAAGCTTCCACATCAATCCACTAGCTCAAGCCCTCTCTTTGACGTCTCACCATGACAATTCTCCACGCCGCCTAAAAAGTCAGTGGCTTCGTTACCTCCTAACATAACCCTAAATCTAACAATATACAGGATACCTAATTAGACCGATTTGGACTTGCGGTGTCGAGCTATGAGCTACGCCTTCATAACCGTGGCTGCAAATAGGTCAGCGGTAGCTCAGTTGAGAAGAGGTAGATGTGTTGAAGGACTTTTATTGAGTTAAGGAAAGATTGAAACCTTAGAAAAAAGATAAGAAAAAGAAAAACACAGACACTGATCATGGATCTGAACCACAGCCGATCTACATGGCGCTTCATCAATTTGAAGCAGCTCTTCCACTGAAGGTAAACCACGTAAATTAACCTAAATATAAAGTGCTTCCTGCTTCTAAAAAGCTAATTATTTAACACAAAGACTGTTAATTAATTAGAGTTTACAAATAATACAACCAACACTTATCATATTTAAACGAACTAAATTTACAATTTACTTTTTCTTTTTAAAATTAAACTTACAGCTTAATTAGTTAGGCTTATTAAACTTAACCGTTTAAGTCATAACAGTATCAGACCTGATAAGAGCAAAATACATAACCTAATGGTCGCCTCAGGCTGCAACATCCTGTTCAGCAATCGTCTGCCTCACCCGTAAAACATAAAACACTGGGCCTTAAACGCTGTACCCCAGAAAACACAAATTTATGGATTTCTCAAATTTTTTTCTTATTGAAATAATTCGCGCTAAGACTGCCACATTCTGCGATCGCCTCTCGCGGACTGACAATTAGCCTTCTTTCTTACAATTCTCGAACCCGCAGACGATAGCCTCGAACCCAGTGGCCTCCGGGTCAAGATCATGCAGGCCGCGAAATGCTTCTTGCTGGCTCGCCTTGCCGATCGGCCTCGGTTCAATCTAGCTGCCTTCCGACGTTATTCTATTATTTTATTATTATTATTATTATTAATAAAAAAATAAAATACTGGTGACTCCAGCAATGGCTGGTTCCTCTCCCCCGGCCAAGTGGTTTGTCAGGTTCCTGCCAGATCTTTACGTTATTGTACACTCATTATTAAATATATAAATTTAGTACAGAAAGCAATAAGATGACTGCTTACTTCTTCCTTCTGCCTTGAATGCTCTTCAAATCTTTAAGTTTTCACCGCAATGAAGCTTCAAGTATCTTTACTTACTCTGGTAATATACAGCTATCTCTTCTAAAACTGTTACTAAAAGCAAGCCTCGTTGCTCTACTGTCTCAACATTAACGACTATGTTTTACATACCGGTGGTAAGATTACTGCTTTAGTACTTTTCTCTTGCTTGTAACAGTATTAAATTTATTCACAAAATTATTTACTCTATAGACATGGTTCCGTTGCTCCGAGACTAGCGGGCGTAACATCTAATAACCTATCGTTACTGTTTTGATCTGCCAGGACGTTTGAGTTTCTTGTCATCTTCAATCGGGATACTTTTATAAGCTTTTGTATTGTTGTTTGTCTGCGATTGAACAAACGTTGGTTACTTGTTTTTATTATAAACCGAAATTATTAATGCACAAAGGCCAAATTGATGAGGAGTCTTATAAGTTCATCACCCAGTATTTATCAAAACAGTTTTACTTAAAGATTATTCAGTTAGTTTCTGAAAATGAAATTATGAGAGAACGAAAATTCCTCGTTTAAATTTGAGAGTAACCTTTAAACAATTCATCCCAATGAAAATACAGGAAAAATGAAAAGGCGGTTAGCGGACGTTTGTAGGAAAAGGGAGATTGTAATGAGAGGGTTCTATACACAACAACCCCGTGGCTACTAAACACTACCCACTCCACCATCAATTATTACGGAATGAGCTGTGCTTCGGACCCACTGAAATATTCACTGAGGGCAAATTGGAGAAAATACTGTACAAAGTAGAGAGAAATTACATCCTCACCCCCTCGGTCGTCTCCTTCCTTTCGCGCTCACTCATTCCGTATTCGCAAAGTCCGAGTTTCCAGGGTGAATATTTGACGAGGGGGGTAGAGGGTCTGAAATGAATTGATAACATTAGAGGCACCCACTCTCCACAAACTCTCATATAATCCTGTTTTTCAACCGGCCTTTTACTCTTCCATCTCCTGACCAAACAAACTGTCTCTTTGCTCCAAACCCTCTCACCATCCGCGTTCAGTGTTTTATTTTAATTTTCCCAACTTGCAGGAATACCAACGAACCGAACGTAGTATTTTCTTCCTCCGACTGAAAAAGCGATTGCGGTTTTTCGAATCCAACGACTAAAAGTTGTCGAACGAGCTTATTATTACATGCACAAAAAGCGTGAGCTTCGTTTCGCTCTTAAGGCTTAAGCTTGTAATGGAAAACAGTTGAAAAGTAAAGCTCAGATTGCTGTTATGGATATATCAGCAATAGGAAAACATTGTTTATAAAACTTAAAAAAAATGCTTGTAATCATATTTAACAATATATGTACACACATGAACTTATATCGTTTCAAATCTTTTTCTTAACTTAACGAAATATGCCCAAGATTAAGTCAATATATATGAAAAGTAAAGCCTTATTTTCTGAATTTTTTTTAGAAAGAAATTAACAGAAATCAAAGGAGAATAAATAAAGAATTTCATATTCGAAAGCAAACAAAAGTAAAGAATATCTAGTTAAAAAGAAAGAAATCGACTATTGGAACAGGATGTTTTCATGTCTTACAATACACGAGAGATTGCAATATTTGTACGGACATCATTAATATTAATAACCGTCCATTGAGGAATTATTTTGCGTGGGAACGGGCGCCATTTGCATGAAGAGATTTATATTTCTTTTCCCAGGTTTACACAGACGGCCGTGGAATAAGAAATGGAGACGTTCGAATTGACAAAATGGCAATGATTTTTAACATGATTACATCGGGACAAAAGGGATTCGTGAGACACGGATGGGTTACATGAACATTTGCAATGTAAACGACGAGGCAGTACCGGATAGAATGGAGGACATACGATACCGTTATTACAAGAACTGGACAAATAACATAATTATAAAAGCACTTTACATAATGTATTATTACATTGGACAAAAATAACAAGTAATTATTCTTCACATCAATAAAAATCATATATTTAATGTCAAATAAGCCATATTTTTAATTTAACTCAATTTTATTTTAAAAACAGAAAACCATAATCAACTAAAAACTCATTCAATAAACAGACATACATAAATTTTATCCCGTTCCCATAAATGTTAAACACTATAACTAAATATTTATTCAGAAATCGTGAGATGCGGTCTGGTGTGATGTAGGTTTCAGAAAAACATTTTCTTTATCGTGCCAACGTTTCGACCTTTATTGAGATCATNACATCCTAAATGTATTTGTTAAATGTAAACAATGTTTTTAAATCCCAGGCCCTGAAGATGATCTCAATAAAGATCGAAACGTTGGCACGTTAAAGAAAATGTTTTTCTGAAACCTACATCACACCAGACCGCATCTCACGATTTCTGAATAATTATCGATTAACGGCCACTAATCACTACACACTATAACTAAATAGTTTACAACTTAAAACATTCATTCTGCAGACTAGAATAATATTTTTTTAAATGATTTATTTATAGCCTCTATATTAATACTAATACATATTACAAATATGAGCGTATTTTGATTTTTATTCTCAACACGGACTCTTTGACCAGCCCTGCACGAGGGAGGTCTCAAGCCATTGTCGTTTAAGGTGACAAAGTAATGAGCAACAAAAGAAATTTTGAGGTCCTTGTGGATTGTTCGAGCTTTGCAAATTTATCATAGGACTCTGATTGGAAGATTCTTCGAAGTTCTTAAAGTCTTAAATGAAGTTATACCGACAAAAAATTCTTCATAAGATGGAATAGCCAAGCAGGTAGTAAAGTATTAGCTTGTAAAAAACTCACACCAAAACTGATCAGTGAATGCATCCAAAATCTCCAAAACCTGTGGAAACAGAACAACCTGATGATATCTTGGATGCCAGGACACAAGGAAATTTCGGGTAACAAAAAGCAGACTCACTGCAAGGCTATGTATATACTCTGGAGCTATTCTTGGTGTAACAAAAACC